ACGCGCACGCTGAGTTGCGGGGGTCGGAATTGCGCCAGCAAGTGCTTGAATAGCTGAGCAGAGGTAGGATCCTGATAACGGGCGGAATCGCGCTGGGTCTCGCCAGAGCTCCCTGCACCCGGACACGCTAAACCAGGGCGCACAATGCTCCTCGAAACAAATTTTCCTCGACGGCGGCACTGAAGAAAAACTGCGCTGCACAGGAGGCGGCACAGGCAGAACACGCAGAACACTGCACTGCACCATTCCCGGAATAAGCCTGGACAAAGACTACGAAAGCCTGCGAAACCTCGCGCAGAGCCGGACAAAGACGCGAATCCTGCCGCGCAGCAACAGAAAGGTGCACCGAACGACCATGAACAGCCAGCAATGCACTGGACGACCAAAATCTGACTTCGCAAGGAGGGTCGTCGTGTTACTTGCCAATGCCCCAGTTAAGTCTTTGTCCCAGTCTCGGGGGGCCTGATTCAGATGTCGCAGGGCCTGGGCGGTTCCCGTTGGCGAGTAGTGGGTGGGAACACAACGCGCGCCGCTGCCGCGCGTCGGTCCTTCCTGCGAGACTGCGAGGTCGATGTCGCGATCCACTCCTTGGATTGGGACCTGCAGGCCCTCTGAGACAGCCGCGTAGCCCCTTCGCTCGATGGCTTCGCGAGCCCCTGGAGCCACCCAAATCCCCGCGTTGCCTGGGAGATCCTGGTCGACAGTAGACGGGGCGCATTGCCGGGCATCCTCGAGGAACAGCCCGAGGGCCCCCGGGCCGTCTGCAGTCCGAAGACGTCCACTTCCAATGCCGCTGTCGGTCGCTGCGCCTGCTGCAGCGCAGGGCGCCGACGCGTGCAACCGCATGCTCTGGCCTCTCTCAATGCCTGGCCAGGAGAGCTTCACGGTCTGCCCACCACGCCCGGGCGCGCGCTGGCGGGCGGCGAGAGCGCGGCGCGCGAGCAACGCAGGCGGGCGCAGACAGCAAGGGAGCACGGGTGGAGGCCAATCGAGCCGCTGGAGCTGCACGGATCACTTGGCAACACGCTGGGGAGATAGTGCAAGCGGGCTCGCATGCGACCTGCGCGCCAACCCAATGCGCATCCGCCCCCTCCCGGTGGTGGCGTAGACGCACGTGGCGAGCAGTATGGCCCAATGATAGAGATGCCTGCGCGTCGCAATCTGGCCTCCGCTTCTTCCACCAGCACGAACGGCCGTTGCGCGAAGCGCCCCGACAGTTGCATCGCCCCCTTCGATGTCGAGCCCTGCTGCCCTGAGCCCCCCGCGGCCCCCTTCAAAGGCCCCGGGGGCCGCAGCCAACGCAGTCGCAATGGCAACCCACCCCGTGGCATCATGGATAAGGGCATGCTTGAAGTTCCTCCTTCTGCGCCCCGGCAGGATCTGTCGGATCTCGATGTCGGGAGCAATTGCTGATCGCACTTGCGCTGCTGGCGCGAGAAGCAAGACTTGCCGTGCATCTGGCGGTGCAAATATCGCCCGCAGCCACGGCATTGCTCCTTCATGCGACGACTACCGCGTCCAAGCTGCGCCAGCTGGCCTTGGGAACTGCGGCCAGAGTCTGCATGGCGCATAGTCTGGCCACCGCGTCAACGCATTCGTTCCAGCGATGCGCAGCATGACCGTGGACATGGTGAAAGGCAATGAGGCTCACACATGCGCGCTGGTGGTGTCAAGCCGTCTGGCAGGAGCTTGGCTGACACGGGCGCGCCACGCGCGCGCCCTCCCCGCTGGACGCGCAGCCCATCGAAGACGCCTGTGAAAAATTGATTGCATCAGACGTGACGTGGCCCAAATGGCAGCCTCGATCTCCGCGCGGAGCGAAGCTAGCGGGCCATCTGCTGACCATCCTTCCAGCGGGCGCGGCACGTAGCCGAGGAAACGCCAATGGCTGAAATAGGTGGCGCACAGAAAGCCCAAACTGGTCGGCGCACATCGCCCGGCCCGTCAGAATATCCCCCCCGGCGTCGCATCTGCGCGAAACCCGAGGCGATCGCAGCTGGCGAGATCTGGGAGGGCCCAAATAGTAGATGAGTGCCGTCACTGCGCCCATGTTAGGAGGTCGTCGGAGGGCTGCGAGGGCCACGGGGACTCGATGAAAGACCTGGCGCCGTCAAGGAGAGGCACTGGCGAACGCGGGGCGCCTTTGGTAGAGGCTTCTTGCAGGGCCCCGCGCGCGCGGCGCCCGCGACGCCGCAACTGTTCGCATGCGTGAGAGGCGACTTCCTCTGACAACGCTGTTTGTGTCTCTGGATTCATTATCTTGCACAGTTGGGTTCTAGAGATCGGACCTCTATACTTTCGTGGTTCGTCGTCGTCCCCCTGGCTCTGGCTTCCCATCCTCGTCGTCGTCTCCCTGCCCCCCATCCCCTGGCCTCCGCGCCCCAACCCGGACCTCTGGCTCCTGGTCCAAGCCCCAGTCCTCCTGCCCTGGCCCTGAATCCAGCCCCCCCCCCCCTGGCTCTGGCACCCCCTGGCCCTGGCCCCAGCCCCCCTCGCCCCGGCCCTTTAGTTTTCGAGGTTTGTGGTTTGTCGTCGCCCCCCGGGCTCTGGCCCCCTCGCCCCCGCCCTCCTGCCCTGGCCCTGAACCCAGCCTCCCTCCTTGGCTCTGGCGCCCCCCCCCTCGCCCCAGACCCTTTTTTCGTGGTTCGTCGTCGTCCCCCTGGCTCTGGCCTGCTTCCCCTGGCTCCCTCGCCCTCGTCCTCCTGCCCTGACCCTAAACCCAGCCTCCCTCCGCGGCTCTGGCGCCCCCTGGCCCTGGCCCCAGCCCCCCTCGCCCCGGCCCTGTAGTTTTCGCGGTTCGCGGTTTGTCGTCGCCCCCCTGGCTGTGGCCCGCTTCCCCTCGCCCCGGCCCCCCTGGCTGTGGCCCGCCCTCCCTCGCCCCCTCGCCCCAACCCGGACCTTTGGCCTCTGGTCCGAGCCCCAGCCCTCTGGCCCTGGCTGAACTCAGCTTGCGTCCTGACCTTAGCCTTGGCCCCACTCGCCCTGACCCTGGCCTTCGCCCCAGCCCTCCTCGCCCCGGACCGTGTAGTTTCGCAGTTCGAACCTGGACCTCTGGCCCCTGGTCCGAGTTTCAGTCCCCCTGCACAGGCCCTGGACCCCCACTCGCCCCGACCCTGGCCTTGGCCCCAGCCCTCCTCGCCCCAGATTCTCTATTTCCGTGGTTCCGTCTCCCTTGCTCTGGCCCCCCATCCCCTGGCCTTCTCGCGCCCCACATGCCCCTCCTCCTCCTCCTCCTCCTCCTCCTCCTCCTCCTCCTCCTCCTCCTCCTCCTCCTCCTCCTCCTCCTCCTTGGCTCTGGCGCCCCCCCCCTCGCCCCAGACTCTTTTTTCGTGGTTCATCGTCGTCCCCCTGGCTCTGGCCTGCTTCCCCTGGCTCCCTCGCCCCCGTCCTCCTGCCCTGACCCTAAACCCAGCCTCCCTCCGCGGCTCTGGCGCCCCCTGGCCCTGGCCCCAGCCCCCCTCGCCCCGGCCCTTTAGTTTTCGCGGTTTGTGGTTTGTCGTCGCCCCCCTGGCTGTGGCCCGCTTCCCCTCGCCCCGGCCCCCCTGGCTGTGGCCCGCCCCCCCTCGCCCCCTCGCCCCAACCCGGATCGTTGGCCACTGGTCCGAGCCCCAGCCCTCTGGCCCTGGCTGAACTCAGCTTGTGTCCTGACCTTGGCCCCACTCGCCCTGACCCTGGCCTTCGCCCCAGCCCTCCTCTCCCCGGACCGTGTAGTTTCGCAGTTCTAACCTGGACCTCTGGCCCCTGGTCCGAGTTTCAGACCCCCTGCACAAGCCCTGGACCCCCACTCGCCCCGACCCTGGCCTTGGCCCCAGCCCTCCTCGCCCCGGATTCTCTATTTCCGTGGTTCCGTCTCCCTTGCTCTGGCCCCCCATCCCCTTGCCTTCTCGCGCCCCACATGCCCCTCCTCCTCCTCCTCCTCCTCCTCCTCCTCCTCCTCTTCCTCCTCCTCCTCCTCCTTCTCCTCCTCCTCCTCCTCCTCCTCCTCCTCCTCCTCCTCCTCTTCCTCCTCCTCCTCCAACACCTCCTCGTCCTCCTCCTCCTCCTCCTCCGCCTCGTCCTCCTCCTCCTCCTCCTCCTCCTCCTCTCCTCCTCCTCTCCTCCTCTTCCTCCTCCTCCTCCTCCTCCTCCTCCTCGTCCTCCTCCTCCTCCTCCTCCTCCTCCTCCTCCTCCTCCTCCTCCTCCTCCTCCTCCTCCTCCTCCTCCTCCTCCTCCTCCTCCTCCTCCTCCTCCTCCTCTCCTCAAGCGCGCAAGAGCCAGGGCACGCGAGCCGCTTGTCATGTCCTGCTCTGCTGGAGTCGGCAAGACGATTGGCGCGAGCGGCGAAGGTGGGGGTCAGCGGGGGCCGGGGAGAGCACCGGCGAATTCTGGGCCGCGGACGCTGATAGTCGCAACTTGAGCAGGGCGTTGAATGACAAAGCGGCGCCTGCTCGGCTGGAGCTGCCCCCCCGCGCTTCGGCTGCCCAAGGAAGGCCTCTCCTGCCGTCGACGCCGGGCCCGATGCCTTCGAGGCAGGGCCCGGCACCAACGATTCTTCGTCTGAAATTTCTCCTCCGGGAGGCTGGCTGACAACGGTTGCTTCACATTGGTCTCTCCCGTGCCTGGCGGCCGCTTCACCTGCCGCTCGTCTCGGCGATGCAGAGCGAGCCCCCCTGCGACCAACTGGAAGCAAGTTGCCTTGGATACCTTTACCGAATGCACAAACAAGGCGGGCCTTGCGCGCCGCTGCTTCCTCTGGCGGCATGATCGTCGCCCTCTTCTTCGCCGGTGCGCGCACCTTCTCTGTCTGAACGATGATAAAAAATAGAAAAAAAGATTCCACAACTGCTGCTGGATTGATGCCAAGTCTTAGGCTGTCCCATTTACCCTGTCCATCTGCTTCTGGACATTTACCATGATATATGTGACATCGAAGATCTGCGACATCAGTTGGTGAATAGAATGCTGGAATGCTGCTGACATGGTTTGCGGTGCAGCTTCATTCGCTGAAGCGGAACCCACGTTCAACGGCTGAGCTCACTGTTGCACTTGCACATAAGCTTGAGAAATTTGCGCAGGCCGCTGCACTGGTGGTGCCTCCACGGATGGCGACGATGCTGAACTGCGCTGCCTGAAGCCTTTCCCTCTGTCGAGTGGGAATTCATCGGCTTCGCCATTTGATTACATAACTGCTTCTCCCGTTGCTGCGTTGAGGCGTCGTCCAACTGGTTGAGCTGCGGTTCGCAATGCTTCGTGGCGTTCGTGAGCCTTTTGTTATTCAAGATCCGAGACTTGCCCCCATCCTTCCACAGCACGTGCTCGATCTTCAGTGTGTACTTCAACTGCTGCGCTGCATGCGTCAAGGTACTGTTTTGCCTTAGCTCTCTTGGTCATGGTGTCTGTGCGACGGCGCCTTGCCTTGTTGACGAAGTCCTTCTGCTTCGCCACGCGGACAGAAACGGTGCGCAAATACATGATATGGTTGAGCATGACTGCGTACTCCTGATTGAGGGCATCGGTGCGTCTATCTCCGATGTCCAACTCTATCCCGTATGTGATATGTCGTTAGATGCTCTCGGGCGTATCCCCGAGCGCCTTGCGGTACTCTCCTGGGGACTGGGGTTTTCTCTGGAGGGTCTTGCCATCGGCGATAGGCACAAGCATCTTCCGGACTGCACGGGGGGATTTGGCTGATGGAGCCGTCCTGCTGGATCGGTGGAAAAAAATAGTGGCCCAGGTCGTGCTTGGCGGCGACCTTTTCTGTTGGCGTCGTCGCCCATGGAACGGATGCTCTGCCTTGCAGCTAAGTTATCCTCCTTGTCCGGGTTGCACTTGTTACCCTTCCTGGATCTCCATGGGTTGTGATGATTGATTGCATGTAAGACCGTTCCACAGATGACGGTCTGGAGACTTCCAATGTTGCTGCCACTATTTCTGGTGACGTCTAGGCTGACGGCTATGATCGCTTCTCGGCTCGGGCGCAATATCTTCTCTGGGACAATGCCCGAGACTTCTAGTGGCCTACTCTCCTATGAGGAAGCTTCGAGCCCAGGCACTGTTTCTGTGTTGACGACGGTGCCACGCTGGTGACTAGAAACGAACGGGGCTTGCGGTTGGGGGCGCTCTGTGTGAGGGCTCGCGGGTGCCTGGCAACCGTTCCCTGGGCCCTCGGAGCAGAACGGCGCGTGGGATGGAGAAGGGGGAGGCAGCAGGCGGAGGACGACGAGGAGGTGGAGGAGGGACGGGGAGGATGAGGATGAGGATGACGATAGGCGCACCGCGGCTGGGGGGCGATCGCCTTCATGTAGGTCGCTGTCACATGATCGGCCTGCGGGTTCCTCCGCCCATCCCCCCTGCTAATCCGCGTTTCGTCATGCTCCTTGTCATCACCACCATAACCGTCACCACCACCACCATCATCACCTGCATCATCATAACAACCGCGATCGCCATCAACGATCTCAACCACTTTGTGGCTGGCCGTTACTAGCTGTTCGGGTGACACTCGGCATACGAAAAAAAGTATACCCACAACGCTTGACTCCGGCCGTTTCGTCTGTGAGCGTGCACTCTTTCGGAGGTACCCTCTTCCCCCTCACATCCTGAGTGGAGCTGTTGCTGTCCCAGCGCATCCTCTCCCTACTTCCTCCCTCCTTCCTTTTCGGTCTCCTCCTCCTCCTCCTCCTCCTCCTCCTCCTCCTCATCCTTCTCATCATATCCCTCCTTCTCCCCCTTCTCCTGCTCATCCTCCTCTTCATCCTTCTCCTTCTCCTCCTACACACCATCCTCTATCATGCACCCCGACCTTGCGCATGCAACTCAATTCCCCGCATCCTGAGTGGGGTTCATGTTGTCTCCACATCCTGAATGGCGCTCTAGCTTTCCCTGACTACCCCGTTCTTCCGTCCTCCGTCCTTGTCAGTCTCCTCCTCCTCCTCCTCCTCCTCCTCCTCCTCCTCCTCCTCCTCCTCCTCCTCCCTCTCCTCCTCCACCTCCTCCTGCTGCTCCTCCTCCTTCATTTTTCCTTATGAATAATTTTTCCCTGTCGCACACCGAGGCCAGTTTTTTGGGCGGGCCGGGCGTTTCGCCTGAGACTTCCTCACCATTTATGACCCTGAAGCTCAAGACGTGACAACAACTTCACAGATGGAGGGCGGGTCGTTTTCGAAATGTGATTCTCGCCTTAGCGCCGTGCACATTCGTTTTAAACATTGAAGAAGCTTCGCGCATTGAGGGCGGGTCGTTTTCAACATGTGGTTCTCGCCTTAGCGCCGCGCACATTTTTTTTAAAAATCGCACGAGTTTCACGGATTGAAAGCGAGTCGTTTTCAACATGTGGCTCTCGCCCCAGCGCCGCGCACATTCATTTTAAAAGATCGGCAGAGCTTCACGGATTGAGGGCGGGTGTTGTTTAATGTGGCTCTCGCCTTAGCGCCGCGCACATTCGTTTTGGACATGTGCAAGAGTTTCACGGCTTGAAGGCGGGTGGTTTTCAAAATGTGGTTATCGCCGTAGCGCCGCGCACATTCGTTTAAACTATCGCAAGAGCTTCACGGATGGAGGGCGAGTCGTTTTCAAACTGTGGCTTTCGCATTAGCGCCGCGCACATTAGTTAAACAAGAATCCTAATAGTTTCACGGATTGAGGGCGGCTCCTTTTCGAAATGCGGTTCTCGCCTTAGCGCCGCAAACATTCGCATTTAACATTTGCAAGAATTTCACAGATTGCCATGATCAGGTGCGAGCACCTCCTCCTCCTCCTCCTCCTCCTCCGTGTTTGCGGAGGGAGGGCAGGGGGTTCGGCTCAACATGGCTCAAGAAGCCCGGGCCAGCCGCAAGGGATTGGTTGAGCCTCATTAGGGATGACCCCCCTGCACCTGCGCCCCAGTCGACGGGATTCTATCCCTGGGCCCTGGCCCCAGCGGGCGTTCCTGGAACGGGGGCTGCTCTGTCAGCAGCTCGTAGACGAGCACGCCCAGCTGCCACCAGTCCAGGGCGAGCGTGTGGCCCGTCTGGTTCACCAGCTGGGGGGCTCACAAGCGACGAGCAGATCCGTATCCATGCGCTCGCGGTCTGGGCACCGAGGCGCGATCCCATGGATACGCGATCCCGTGGACACGTTCCGCGCGGGGCATCCGTGCAAAGCCAGGCCAACCTGCATCCAGGAGGTCGCGGCCGAGGAGTCCACCCAAGCAGACGCCCACATTTGTTCTGAACGTGGCTTCCCAAAGTCGGGACCCCTTCCTGGGGACCAGCTTCTCATCCTGCCTGCACCGTTTTTCGACGGTCCTGGGGCCCAGTGAGGGATCCCGGAAGCCGAAGCCTGCCAAAAACTTGTCGTTGCAAATCTGCCACGACGCGAGGATGCCAGGGAGGAGTCTGGAGTCCAGAGCGCGAGGCCGTGGATGCAGACGTGCATCCCGCCCGCGAGCGACGGCAGGGGGGGCAGATGCTGGGCAGGGCAGCGCACCCGGACCTCTGCAAACCGCGACTGCGACCCGCGACCCCCTGCGTGGAGCGTCGCCAGGGCACGCCGCCAGGGCGCTGCCGGGCGGGCCGGCAGCACCCAGAAAGCACCCGGAGCTCTCTGGCGACCTGAGCACGTCGAGCCAAAGGGGGAGGCGGTCCTCGTGCTCCGGGGCCGCTTCCAGGCCCCACGGACGTCGAGAGACAGGCTCTGGCGCTGGAGCCCTGGGGGGAGGTGCCGAGAGCTCCGGGGGCCGGCGGCTACAAAAGTATCCCGGCGAAGGACCCGACCATGTGCAGCTGTGGGTGCCGCAATTGTGAATGTCTCCTGCGGTGAAGCGTCCCATGGGGCCACGAAGCGCTACGCTGGGTGGGGGGGGGACGCATGCGGGCGGCAGCCCTGGGGCCGTCGGTGGAGCTCCCTAGGGGGCCACGAAACGCTGCACTGGGTGGGTGAAAATGCCAAATAGGGCTTCTGGGACGCATGCCGACGGCCCCATCGTTCGTCAGGGCAGCATATCTGGATAGGATGTGTTGGGGATACGCGGCGCGGAAATACTTACATTCACCCACTCATATTCGGGGTGGCGGCGGAATGGCGTAAGCCTATGCAGTCCGCCCGCCGACCAGGCTGTGGAGCGTGTGGGATTTAACCGGGAGTGCTGGTTCAAGGACTTACACACACACACACACCCTCTCCCCTCGCAAACCTCCTTGACCCCCCACACTGTATTCCGCCGTTCCGCCACCCGCTGCGTCATCAACCGCTTTCGGGTCCCAAGACGGCTTTCAAACGGCGTCAAAAACAAACTCAAATTTCACAAGGTTCCCAACACGGTTTCGGGACGCAGTTGTGCTCCACTGTGGCTCCTTCAGGGCCCCCTTCTCGCATCCAATATCGGCGTCCTGGGCTCTCCAGAACGCCTCTGAGGCCCAATTTCTACGAGCTGGAAGCTTCACAAACATAACAAATCTCTAAGGTTTTTGACGATTTGGGCTCTTCCAGGGGTCACCCACACGCCTCTCATAGCAGACTTTCGGGCTTGTCTGGGGCATTCTCGCCATCCACATTTCGACGACGTGTAAGACGCGCTCCACGATCCATGTAAGGACTCTTCGGGGCCCAACTTGAGCTCCAAAACAGAACCCCAAAACGGCCCCGACCCCACACTGGTTTGGGTGGTTTTTGGACGGGCCTGGGACACGGGGATGCTTGCGCATGGGCAGTCCAGAAGCTTGCCTTGGCTGCCTCGGGCCCATCTTGGCCCTTTCTAACCTTCCTCGGGGTACACTTCGACCCTTGTTGGCGCCTTTGGGGCAGTTTCTGGGCCATATTGTGTTGACATTGGGCAGTGTTCTGGCTAGTTTCTGGCCTCCTGCAGTGCAAGGGTCGAGAGAGCCATCGCCCATGTCAACGATTCGTTGGCAATGATGACGGGCATCGATCAGTCACATAGCACACCTGATCGCAGTCGGCGATGGGATGGAGAGGAAATGGATGTTCGTCCCGTCTTGAAGGCGTCTTCGCCCCTTTCGGCGAGAACTGGAATGGGCGAACGGTGAACGCGAAGCGTCTCGAATAGAAGAGAAGGGAACATACTACATAATAAGGGAAGAGACGGACACAACATCGAGCACATCATGCTACACCATAACACTGGTTTTGTATATCAATCTACAGATGCACTGAAATATGTTATGGAAGGAGCGGCGAAAAGGTCAGCGCCCTAACATAAGACATATCCACACTCGTTACTCAATTGCGAACATAATATGAAGAACATGGACGAGCTTTCTGGTGCAAGGCTGGTCATCTGGTCATGTCAATGCTACTTGCGGCTTCGGGCACTTGCGGCGTGCAATTAAAAGTCATCCTGTCATTTCTGATCTCATCGTCATTGTTCTCCTCCTCTTCCTCCTCCTCCTCCTTCTCCCCCCCTTCCTCCCTTCATCCGCGAAATCTCACATGTGCATCTTACTCTCCTCATCCTGTCTATTTTCCTCTGCACCTCCGCCTATGCCTGCCCTTCGCCTCCAACTCAAATTAAATGATTCTCCTCTGGTGCGAAATAGTCGGGGCTGCCACAGATGGAGAAGGTCTTGCCCATCACCAGCTTGGAGAGGCCGAAGTCTGCCACCTCCCGACAAGCAGCAGCGCCAGCGGCGGTGAGAGGTAGAGGAACAGCAGGAGAATAGCCCTAGACCTCCGACGCCGCAATTGTTCAAATCCAGCGGCTTTTTCCAACACTTTCGGCCGCCGAGGGTCGTTCTCGAGCCCAACGGCTATCAGTCAACACACCGGGGGCCGAAAACTTGCCCTGGGGTCAAGGGAAGATCAGAGGTGGACAGAACCCCACGACCCAGGAACAGACCCAGCGGGCGCAGACACGCAGAAATTGTCGGTGCAACGCCCTTCCGAAAACCGAAAAAGAGCAATACGCTAATCGACTTAGCAGGGCAGGGGTTCGAGGGCACCGGAGGCCCGCGACGCAAACGAGTCAAGACGCCGGAGGTCTGAGGAAGAAGGGGGCGGCTGACGCCGGAGGTCTTGTGAGGAAGGGTGCGGCTCGGACACAGAGCCTGCGCGGCCCTGAACGAGGGGCGCGGCCCTTGAGACGGAGAGGTTCGAGGCCTGGAGGGCCCAGCAGGAGCAGGAGCCACTGCAGAGGCAGCGGCTGTGGGAAGGGCGGCCGCTCTTGGAGGCATCACAGATAGCTGGGCCACTGGATGGAAGAAGACGAAGGAAGCGACGACTGTAGAAGCAGCGGCTGCAGAACGATTAAAGCAGCCCTTTCGCGCCTTCGCGTGGCCAACGGCGCTCAGCAGGACGTTCTCTGGCTTCAAGTCCCTGTAAATGATGAAGCGGTCGTGCAAGTGCCTGCTCGGCCAGGAAAAGGGGATGGGAACGAGACGGTGCAGCCCCGAATTGTTGTAGAAATCGCCATGGTGGCAGCAGCAGCATGAGTAGTAGTAGTAGTAGTAGTAGTAGTAGTAGTAGTAGTAGTAGTAGTAGAAGTAGAAGTAGTAGTAGTAGTAGTAGTAGTAGTAGTAGTAGTAGTAGTAGTAGTAGTAGTAGTAATAGTAGTAGTAGTAGTAGTAGAGTAGTAGTAGTAGTAGTAGTAGTAGTAGTAGTAGTAGTAGTAGTAGTAGTAGTAGTAGTAGTAGTAGTAGTAGTAGTAGTAGTAGTAGTAGTAGTAGTAGTAGTAGTAGTAGTAGTAGTAGTAGTAGTAGTAGTAGTAGTAGTAGTAGTAGTAGTAGTAGTAGTAGTAGTAGTAGTAGTAGTAGTAGTAGTAGTAGTAGTAGTAGTAGTAGTAGTAGTAGTAGTAGTAGTAGTAGTAGTAGTAGTAGTAGATGTAGTAGTAGTAGTAGTAGTAGTAGTAGTAGTAGTAGAAATAAAAGAATAAGTAGAAGATGTAGTAGTAGTAGTAGTAGTAGCAGAAGAAGTAGTAGTAGTAGTAGTAGTAGTAGTAGTAGTAGTAGTAATAGAAGTAGTGGTAGTAGTAGTAGTAGTAGTAGTAGTAGTAGTAGTAGTAGTCGTAGAACATGAAGGAAGATTCTACGCAGCGCGGACGCAGAAACAAACACATGGTCGAACACGAGGGAAAATGCTACGCGGCGCGGACGCCTGAAAAACCCACTGTCGAACATTCGGAAACAAATCATTGAGGCGCGAACACCAAGGCACAAACATTGTCGAAAGTGGCTGTGGTGGCGGTGGTTGTGGTGGAGGTGGTTGTGCTAGTGGTTGCAAGATATGTGCCGAAGAATTGAATGAAGATTTAAGCCGAAGATTTGGGTGAACATTTACGCAGAAGATTTGCATGAATATCTAAACAGAAGCTTCATGTGAAGACTCAAGCCGAAGATTCGAGTGAAGATTTAAGTCGAAGACGCAGGTGAAGATTTAAGCCGAAGATTTCGGTTAAGATTTGAAGACGAAGATTCAGGTGAATCTTTACGCCGAAGATTCGAGTGACGATTTAACCCGGAGATTTGGGTGACGATTTAAGCGGCAGGTTTAGGTGAAGATTAAAGTAGAAGATTTAGGTGAAATGTTCACCCGAAGATTTGAGTGAAGATTCAAACCGAAGATTCGGGTGAAGATTTAAGCCGAAAAGTTGGGTGAAGATTTAAGCCGAATGCCCGCAGATTTGGGTGAAGATTTGATCCGAAGATTTGAATGAAGATTTGAATCGAAGACTTCAAATCAAGATTGAAGCCGAAGATTCGAGTCAAGATTCAAGCCGGAGATTTAGGTAAAGATTTGAGCCGAAGATTTGCGGATTTGAATGAATGTTCAAACCGAAGATTGCGACGAAGATGTTAGCCGAAGATTCAGGTGAAAACTTAAGAAGAAGATTGGTGAAGATGTAAAACGAAGATTTGAGTGACGATTTATGTCGAAGATTTGAATACAAGTTTAAACTAAAGATTCGAGTGAAAATTTCAGCAAAAGGTTCAGGTGAAAATTTCAGAAGGGGATTCGAGTGAAGATTTAATCGAAAGATTTGGGTGAGAATTTACGCCGAAGATTTGGGTGAAGATTGGGATGAAAGATTTGAGTGAAGATGGAAGCCGAAGATTCCGGTGAAGATTTAAGCCGGAGATTTCGAGAAAGATTTAAGACTAATTTTTCGGTGAAGATTCAGGTCGAAGATTTAGGTGAAGATTTAAGCCGAAGATTCAAGTGAAGCTTAAGCCGAATATTTGACTGAATACTTAATCAGAAGATGTGGGTGAAGATTTAAGCCGACGGTTTAGGTGAAGATTTAATCCGATGGTTTAGGTGAAGATCTCAGCCGAAGATTTGAGTGAAGATTTAAGCCGAAGATTGGGGTGAAGCTTGCAGCCGAAGCCGAAGATGTAGGTGCGGATTAAAGCCGAAGGTGCGAGTGAAGATTTACGCCGAAGATTTGGGTGAAGATTTAAGCCAAAAATTGAAATGAAGATTTGATACGGAGATTTACATGAACATGAAGATTTAGGCTGGATATTTAGGTGAAGATTTGAGCCGAAGATTTGAGTGATGGTTTGTCCCGAAGATTTGGGTGAAGATTTAGCCTGAAGGTTTAGGTGAAGATTCAAGCCGAAAGCTTGAGTGAAGATTAAAGCCGAGGCTTTGGGCAAATATGTACGCCGAAGATTTGAGTGAAGATTTAAGCCGAAGATTTCAATGAAGATTGAAGCCCGATATTTGAGTGAAAATTGAGGCCAAAGATTCGAACGAAGGTTTCAGCCGAATGTGTAAGTAAAGTAACCAGAAGATTTAGGTGAAGATTCAAGCCGAAGCTTTAGGCGGCGATTTAAGCCGAAGATATGGTTGAATATTAAAGCCTAGGATTCGGGTGAAGAGCTAGGCCAAGGTGAAGATCTAAGCCGACGATTGAATTGAGATTTACGCCGAAGATTTGAATGAAGATTTGAGCTGAGAATTCAAGAGTAAGGCAGAAGATTTTGGTGAAGATTTAAGCCGAAGATTTAGGTGAAGATTAGGCCTAAGTATCGAGTGGCGAATTAAGCCGAAGGGTTGGGTGAAGATTGAAGCCGAAGACTTAGGTGAAGATTTGAGCCGAACATTTAGGTGAAGATCTATGTAAGCCTGAGATGTGGAAGAATATTGAAGCCGACGGTTTAGGTGAAGATGTAAGTCGAACATTTAGATGGAGATTTAAGACGAATCTGTCGGTGCATATGTAAGCCGAAGGTTCGGGCGAAGACTTCAGCGGAAGTTTTGGGTGAAGACTTATGCCGAAGATTTAGGTGAAGATTCAAGCCGAAGAGTTGGGTGCAAATCTAGACCGAAGATTTAGGTGAAGATTTCAGTTGAAGGTTTAGGTGAATACTTGAACCGATTTAAACCAAAAAGCTATGTGAATATGTAAACCAAAGATTTAGATGAAGATCTAAACATAATATTCAAGCAGGAGGCTTCAGCCGCAGATTCGAGGGAAGATTTAAGTCGAAGTGTCGGGTGAATATTTAAACCGAAGAAGTCGGGGGAAATGTAAGCCGATGGTTTAGGTGAAGATGTTAGCCGAATATGTGGGTGAAGATTTAAGCCGAAGATGAAGGTTAATATGTAACCCGAAGAAGTAGGTGAAGATTGAAGCCGAATAATTAGGTGAAGGTTTAAGCCCGAGATTTTAGCGAAGGCTTAAGCCGGAGATTTAGGCAGAAGATTTAAGTGAAGACTTCAGCCGAGTGGTTGGATGAAGAGTTAGGCCGAAGATTTAGGCGAAGATTTAAGCTGAAGATTTGACTAAAGATTTGAGCATAATATTTGGAGAGAGCGTGCTTCACCGCCGCTTTGCTCTGGAAAATTCCCCCCCCCTTTTTCCTCCGAAGCCCGCCCCCCCCCACCCCTTCCAAAAATCCCCCCCACCCCTGTTCGAACCCCCCCCCAGCAACCCCCCCCCTCCAGAAAACCGGGAAAGGTCACTGCCCGTTTGAACCCCCCCCCCTCCCAGAAAATCGGGAAGGGTCACTACCGGTTTGATGCCCCCCCCCGTCCACTCGAAGCCGGCTAACGACTCCCGGTTCCCCACCACCGTCCTCACCACCGCCCTCACCACTGTCCCCACCACCACCGCCCACACCACTGTCCCACTGTCCCACTATCCCCACCACTGTCCCGCCGTCCCCACTGTTCCCACCACTGTCCCCACTGTCCCCACCAGTGCCCCCACCGCTGTCGCACAGTCCCCACTGTCCCCACCACTCTCCCCACCGCTGCCCCACTCTCCACACTGTCCCCAGTGTCCCCGCCACAGTCCCACTGTCCCCACTGTCCCCACCACTGTCCCACTGTCCCCACTGACCCTACCGCTGTCCCACTGTGCTGTCCCAGTCCCCATTGTCCCCGCCACTAGCTGTCCCACTGTCCCCACTGTCCCCACCACTGTCGCCACTGTACCACTGTCCCATTCACCGCCCTCGCCACCGCCCTCCACCGTCCCCACCACCACCGTCCCCACCGCCCCCACCAGAGTCCCACTGTCCCCTCACCAGTCCCCACCACCACCGCCCCCACCACTGTCGCACTGTCCCCGCTGCCCCCACCACTGTCCCATTGTCCCCATTGTTCCCACCAGTGTCCCCACTGTCACCACTCTTGCCCCCGCCACTCTCGCACTGTCCCCGCTGTCCCCACCACTGTCCCCACCACGGCTCCACCCTTCACACCGTCCCCACCACGGTCCCACTGTCCCTACTGTCCCCCCACTGTCCCACCGTCCCCACTGTTCCCACCTCTGTTCCACTGTGCTGTCTTACTGTCCTCACTGTCCCCCCTCTGTCCCACTGTCCCCACTGTCCCCACCACTGTCACCGCCGTACCACTGTCCCATTCTCCCCCCACCGTCCTCGCCGCCGCCTTCACCACTGTCCCCACCACCACCGCCCCCACCAATGTCCCACTGTCCCCTCACAACTGCCCCCACCACCACCGACCCCACCACTGTCCTACTGCCCCAACTGTCCCAGCCAGTCTCCCACTGTCCCTACTCTTCCCACCACTGTCCCCACTGTCCCAACCAGCGACGACGCGCCTGGCTTCTCTTGCAAGGTGCTTCTCCTGAAGTTGCGCATGGCGTTCGCATGCGGCAGTGGCATCCAGCCTTTCGGCAAGCTCCCGCACCTCTGCAGTCGTCGCCAAAGCCTGCTCGACCGCCACCGCCTGCTGGCGCTCCTCAAGAAGCTGCATGGCGTGCATCATAGTTCACGGTCCCGCTCCCGTTGAAGAGCAGCGGCGGCCTGTTGCTGTAGCTCTGACTGTCGAAGTTGCTCGCGCATCTCGGCTATGTCGGTTTCTCTGGCCTCCGTGATCTCGAGCCTCGGCCTCACGCTACTCGTTCGCGCGCAAACCTGCACAGTCATGCGGTGCTGGGGCGCGGCGCGTCGGGCATAGGAAGTTCAGATTGCAGGGGTCACGAAGATCCGAACACCCACGACAGACAGGCGTCTTACATTGGCCTAAAGCGCACCAGGACACCGAGTCTCAGGAATCACGGTACATCGCGGCCCAAAGTGAGCACATTGTCGCGTCGATGCGCATGCTGAACGCACTCGACAAGCCAAATAGGTTCGACAAGTAGGACGCCTCCGAACGCGGCCTCGGGGCCCTCAGTCTACCCCTTTTTTCCGAACTCCTATTACGGGGAAAGCGGGTCCGTGGGTCAGGCGTCTCAGGTGTTGTGGTCGAGGGCCGATAGCCAGGCTTAACAGGAGACGGGGGGGGGCTTGGCGCATAGCTACCGGGCCCTCCCCCCCGGAGCGCGCACAGGTGGCCCTGACTGGGCTGCCCACGGGCTGGTCCTCCATGATTTCCCCGAGACCCCGTTCGAGCGAGCCGCCAGAAGGAATCGCAGCCCCCTCGCCATCGGCGAAGGGCACCTGTGTGGGAAGTGGGCCATCGGCCAGAGGCACTGGAGAACTGACGCCAGTGGCCTCAGCTTCCACCCCCTGCGGCAGGCGGACACGTTCATAGGCAATCGGTCTTCCGGGCGTCGACTTACGGGAGAAATTCTCCTCTGACGATATGGATTCCACGTCCTGCTCGCCGTCCGAGAGGTCGATGGGGACGTCAGGTTGACCAGCGATTGGTAGCGGCACCTGCTCGCCGCGCTCGTACCAGTCGGGCCCCTCGTCGTCAGTGACCTTCGGGGTGTCCGGGCGACGCTCACCGTCGCAGGAAATACTCCAGCTGATCATTGGATGAGGGCGTTGACGTTGTTCCCCGAAATCATCGGTGGAAGCACCCCCAGGAACGTTCATACTTAAGCCGTGGCATTGGTCTCCTTTTTGTTCGTACACCGCTCACTGAAAGAATTAGCCTGGCGAAGGACCCAACCATATGCAGCTGCGAGTACCGCACGGATATGAGACGAAGGACGGGGCACGCAAACTAGGCCCCTCTTCTCATAGGCACCGCGCCACTGGGGCCTTCGGTGGAGCTCCCACGAAACGTGTGAAGGGTGTGCCGAAATGGGTGGTGGGGAGGCATGCGGACCCTGCCACTGGGGCCTTCGGTGGAGCTCCCTATGGGGCCACGAAACGTGTGAGGGGTGTGCCGAAATGGGTGGTGGGGAGGCATGCGAACCCAGCCACTGGGGCCTTCGGTGGAGCTCCCTATGGGGCCACGAAACGTGTGAGGGGTGTGCCGAAATGGGTGGTGGGGAGGCATGCGAACGCAGCCACTGGGGCCTTCGGTGGAGCTCCCTATGGGGCCACGAAACGTGTGAGGGGTGTGCCGAAATGGGTGGTGGGGAGGCATGCGAACCCTGCCACTGGGGCCTTCGGTGGAGCTCCCTATGGGGCCACGAAACGTGTGAGGGGTGTGCCGTGGTGACTGGGGGGTGGTGGGGCCACGAAAATGGGTGGTGGGGAGGCATGCGAACGCTGCCACTGGGGCCTTCGGTGGAGCTCCCTATGGGGCCACGAAACGTGTGAGGGGTGTGCCGAAATGGGTGGTGGGGAGGCATGCGAACCCTGCCACTGGGGCCTTCGGTGGAGCTCCCTATGGGGCCACGAAACGTGTGAGGGGTGTGCCGAAATGGGTGGTGGGGAGGCATGCGAACGCAGCCACTGGGGCCTTCGGTGGAGCTCCCTATGGGGCCACGAAACGTGTGAGGGGTGTGCCGAAATGGGTGGTGGGGAGGCATGCGAACGCAGCCACTGGGGCCTTCGGTGGAGCTCCCTATGGGGCCACGAAACGTGTGAGGGGTGTGCCGAAATGGGTGGTGGGGAGGCATGCGAACGCAGCCACTGGGGCCTTCGGTGGAGCTCCCTATGGGGCCACGAAAACGTGTGACTGGGGCCTTCGGTGGAGTGTGCACGAACGTGTGATGCCGGTGGTGGGGAGGCATGCGAACGCAGCCACTGGGGCCTTCGGTGGAGCTCCCTTTGGGGCCACGAAACGTGTGAGGGGTGTGCCGAAATGGGTGGCGGGGAGGCATGCGAACGCAGCCACTGGGGCCTTCGGTGGAGCTCCCTATGGGGCCACGAAACGTGTGAGGGGTGTGCCGAAATGGGTGGTGGGGAGGCATGCGAACGCAGCCACTGGGGCCTTCGGTGGAGCTCCCTATGGGGCCACGAAACGTGTGAGGGGTGTGCCGAAATGGGTGGTGGGGAGGCACGCGAACGCAGCCACTGGGGCCTTCGGTGGAGCTGCCTATGGGGCCACGAAACGTGTGAGGGGTGTGCCGAAATGGGTGGTGGGGAGGCATGCGAACGCAGGAGGGAGGAGGGCGAGGAGAAGGAGGAGGAGGAGGAGGAGGAAGAGGAGAAGGAGGAACGCGGGGACCGTCTCTTCAAAACGAGGACCCAACACCACAGGATGGTTGGAGGAAAAAAAACATAATTTCCCCACCTGGTGGCATCGCTGCCGCCGATGATAGGACTTCCGGCTGATAACCAATGTGTTGCCAATTCTCCGTCAAGAGGGGAGCTTTCACAACCCCATTAAACGGCAAAGCGTGTAATTGCTCTTGATGGTGATCTTCTTCTTGTCGCAGTGTTATACTCCAACCCAAACGACGTATAAGAGGCGTACTTATTTCTGCCATGGCTTAGGGTAATGTTGTGCCGTCAAACTATGGCTAGAATCACGCCACTCGGGAGAGGGCTGGCCAGCCGGCGGGCGCGCGCGGCGGGCGAACCGAACTACTTTTCGACGATCGAAACCAAAACAGTTTCGAGAAGTCATCGATGTCCAGCGGCGGCGAGACAGCAGTGCTGAGGCAATGCAGGGGCGTCACTAAATCAATCCTCCTCCTCCTCCTCCCCCTCTTCCTCCTCCCCCCTCCTCCTCCTCCTCCTCCTCCTCCTCCTCCTCCTCCTCCTCCGCCATTCCTCCATTCCTCCATTCCTCCTCCTCCTCCTCCTCTTCCTCCTCCTCCTCCTCCTCCGCCTCCTCCTCTTCCTCCTCCTCCTTCCCCAGCTCCTACCTCCCCCGTCTCCTCCTCATTATCCTTGTCATTCCTTTGTTTTCTTTTCCTCCTCCTCCTCCTCCCCCTCCTCCTCCTCCTCCTCCTCCTCCTCCTCCTCATCCTCCTCCTCCTCCTCCTCCTCCTCCCCCCCCCTCCTCCTCCTCCTCCTCCTCTTCCTCCTCCTCCTCCTCTTCCTCCTCCTCCTCCTCCTCTTCCTACTCCTCTTCTTCTTCTTCTTCTTCATGTTTTTCCTCTGGTTCCTCCTCCTCCTCCTCCTGCTCCGCCTCCTCCTCCTCCTCCTCCTCCTCCGGCTCATCTCCTCCTTCCTCCCCTCCCTCCTCCTCCTCCTCTCCTCTCTCCCTCCCCACCTGTTTCCTCCTCATTATCCTCCTCCTCCTTTCCTCCTCATTATCCTTGTCATTCCTTCTTGTTCTCCTCCTCCTCTTCCTCTCCCTCCTCCTCCTCCTACTTGTTCTCCTCCTCCTCCTCCTCCTCCTCCTCCCCCTCCTCCACTCCGTTTTCTGTATCAACAACTACTCCCTATCGCGCTCCCAGTCGTGTTGGTAAAGCGGGCCGGGCGTTTCGCCGAAGACTTCCTCACCATGTATGACCTGGAACTTGAAATTTGTTACAGCTCGAAAGATGGAGGGCAGGCAGGCCGTTTTCGAAATGACGCTCTCGCCAAAGCGCCGCGAGCTATTATTACAAAAGCTTGCAACAATTTCAAAGATGAAAGGAGGCGGGTGTTTGTTTTGTCTCGCTCTCGCCTTAGCGGCGTGCACATGCGTTCTAAAAGTGTGCAACAGCTTTCAGGATGGAGGGCGGCTCATTTTCTAAGTGCGGTTCTCTCCGTAGCGCCGCGCACCTGAATTTCAAAGTGCGCACCAGCTCTAAGGATTCATCGGGCTGGTGTACCAGAAATAATGTTCTGACACGGTTTAGGACTGCCAGTACGCAGCAGCCAAGTTGATCCGCGGTGTTGAAGGCCCAGCGGCTTTCTGGCACGATGTCTGACTGTCCGGACGCAACAATCACTCGGATTCGCGATGTTCCAGTTCCAAGAACGGCTTCTGAAGCAGCTTCGGATTCTCAGACTATTGCCTTTCAGTGGGCCACTCGCGGCAATGGAGATTCAGTCTTGTAGGGACATACGCAGAGGGAACCTGCAAGGAGAGAGCACGGCAACATCGATGATGCGCCGTGGGGTTACACTGGTTTTTTACGTCGAACAGACATGGATCAGAGATCCTTGCGTTCTGGGTTTGCAAAAAAAAACGGTGAACCGACTTAGGCAGAGAGCGAACAAATTAAGCCTGGCGGGCGCAGCGGAAACGATAAGACTGAGAGATGCCATAGAGTATGCGCCTGCCAGGCCGCACAGTGGAGTAGGGAAGGACCAAACCATCCTCCTCCTCCTCCTCCTCGTCCTCCTCGTCCTCCTCCTCGTCCTCCTCCTCCTCCTCCTCCTGCCCCTCCTCCTCCTCCTCCTCCTCCTGCTCCTCCGTCCTCCTCCTCCTCCTCCTCGTCCTCCTCCTGCACTGCCTTCCCCCTGCCCGCACCCCTGGCGCCAGAACGCGAGGGCCACGCACGCCGAATAGTACCGCGCGTGCTCCACGCTGCCGTACAAGCCTGGGACGTGGCACTGGAAGCGCGGGGGAACGCAACGACGTAGATGGCGACCACGACGACGACGCACGCAGAGACGACAACGACGATGGCACACACAGAGGCGACAACGACGATGGCACGCACAGAGACGACAACGACGACGTTGGGTTTCTCATCATCCTCTTGCGCAAGCACGCCTCCTCCTCCTCCTTCATCCTCCTCTGTGCTCCTCCTCCTCCTCCTCTGTGCTCCTCCTCCTCCTCTTCCTGCTCCTCCGTTACCTCCTCAGCTTCTTCAACCTCCTCCTCATCTTCCTCCACCTCCTCCTCCTCCGCCTCATCATCATCATCATCATCATCATCATCATCCTCCTCCTCCTCATCCTCCTCCTGCTCCTCCTCCTCCTCCTCATCATCATCATCCTTACCATCATCAGAATCATCCTCTCTCCTCCTCCTCCTCCTCCTGCTCTACCTCCTCCTCCTCCTCCTCCTGCTCTTCCTCCTCCTCCACCTCCTCCTCTTCCGCCTCATCTGTCCTCCTCCCCATCATTCAGCATATCCTCCTCGTCCTCCTCTTCATCCTCATCATCATCACCACCACCACCACCACCAGCATCATCATCATATCATCATCACCACCATCATCATCGTCATCATCACCATCAGCATCAGCATCAGCATCCTCCTCTGCATCATCATCACCATAATCAGTATCATAGTCGTCGTCCTCATCAGCATCCTTATCATCCTTAGCATCAGCATCAGCATCATGATCCGCATCAACACCATCACCATCTCCATCATCTGCATCATCAGCATCGCCAGCATCATCAGCAGCACCATCATCATCATCATCATCATCATCATCATCATCATCATCATCATCCTCATCGTCGTCGTCGTCCTAGTCGACGTCATCTATGTCATCATCATCGTCGTCATGATCAGCATTATTATCATCACCCGCATCCTCATCGTCAGCATCATACTCATCAGCAGCTTCATCATTGTCATCATTGTCATCAACATCATCATCGTCGTCATGGTCAGGATCATCATCATCATCATCATCATCATCAGCAGAAGTATCAGCAGCATCACCATCCTCACCACCAGCTTCACCATCGTCATGATCTTCGTCATGATCATCAGCATGATCATCATCAGCCTCATCATCATCATCATCATCATCATCATCATCATCATCATCATCATCATCATCATCCTCATCTGAATCCTTTGGCAGAAGGAGGGGGCACGGTAGTTCGATGGTGTTCATAGCAGGGCCCTCGAAGAGGGCCTCGGCTGGCGGGGCCTCGAAGTCCTGATCACAACGCGCTCGAACGCAGGACAGGGGGTATTGAGGGAACAGCAACGGAAGGAGGAGGACGAGGAGGAGGAGGAGGACGACGAGGAAGAGGAGGAGAGGGAGGAGGAGGAGGAGGAGGAGGACGAGGAGGAGCAGCAGGAAGAGGAGGAGGAACCGGTCCCCCACATTGTTGCCCCTCCTGGGTCAACCAAAGATGCATCAACGATGCTGCAATATACACCCACCCGTCCCAAGTCCGGCCTCGATACGCCCCTGCAGATCTTCCTTTCCGCTACAGAAGGCGTCCCCCTGGAAAGACCAGCACAGATGAGCCTTTCATGTTGACGAGGGCCCCGCTTTGAAAAGGAATTGCCATGCACCTTTCTGGCGCGTGAATAAAAACGCGGGGGGGAGCAATGATCATACAGTTCAACGAGGTGTCTAGCGAGGCTCCCCTTTCGAGCAAGGACCCCGCCCAAACTGTGCAACTGCCGCACAAGTTGACACGTGTGGTCATGAACTTCGGGAATATCATGCGACACCAGAGCCGCCATGTATCCGTGCAGCGTTACATACGTTGAAACCTCGGGTCCTGCAGAGTAACGAAGTCTCAAGCTAGAACTCTGTTTCGAAATGTAGCAGCCCTCCGTCCTGCTAAACGCTGCGTGAGGACAACAACGAGTGCGCGCGGCGCTGAGACGAGAGCCTCATTTTGAAAACGACCAGTGCTCAAGCCTTTTCACTGGCACAGATCGCAGGCCCCCCAGGGATGGCGAGGTCTAATCTGAGTCTGGGTGGTGCCTCACTCCGCTGGAACCCCAAGCAGCCCTCGAAAGTGGCGATAGTTTCGCAGATTGCAGCCTCCAAGGGATGGCGAGGTCTGGTCTGAGTCTGGGTGGTGACTCCCTCCGCTGGACCCCTCAGTAGCCCTCGAAAGTGGCGATAGGTTCGCAGATCGCAGCCCCCCCCAACAGGGATTGCGAGGGCAAGCCAGGCAAAAGGCAGTTAAGAAGAAGATGAGCGAAGAGAGGAGAATGAGGTCGGGACCGTAGCGCTCTGTTCGCAACGAAAACTCAACTCAAAGATTTCGGCCTTTCGGGGCACTCCTCTGGGGCCTCGAGCGCCCACTGAAGCCTGCCTGGGGCCGTCCTGGCGCAGCCTGGAAGCCGTCGGAGGCCGTTTAGAAGGCATCTTCGGCGCTCCCGGGGTGTGATGGACCGGCTCGGTAGACTGTCGTACCCATGTGTCGGCCATCTGTGCGAGCACGACGCCACTTTGGGAGCCAGGAGGGCGCCCCTTGGGCCCCCGGAGCGGCCATGTGTACGAGTTGCCCCAGTCCCAGGCCCGCCCGCGGCCTACTCCGATACATATGTATACATATGTGTATCTATATATACATACTTATGTATATATGTGCATATATGCATTCACTCGAGACCATTGCTCCCATTTGACCTTCCTCGTGATGGGAGGTCTTCTGGATGAAAACTGTTTGAACGACTCCCTGGCTGCATCCTGACTTTGGCGATCCAGCTCTGAAGAAGAGAAGGAGGAGGAGGGAGAGGAGGAGAAAGAGGAGGACGACGAGGACGGGGTTGAGGGGGCATGCAGGCGTGCGACAATTTGTGCACGGGGCGACGGCCATGCATGGTGCTTGGATGCACTGCGCGAGGAACCACACAGACCAGGCAACCCAGGAATATCATAACTTGCTGTGTTTGACAGAATGGGCAGCGGTATCTCGCCGCCGAGGGTCCCAGACATCTGGCGGCTCGATTTGGTCCAGACACGGGTCCCCGCAGCTCTCGACCCCTTCCACAATGCCAACTGTTCAGCCCGAGTCATTTTTTAGACGGCCATGGGGCCCGAAACTGGTTCCCGGGCATCGAAAATAACGAGAAGCCTCCTCCCAGGTTGGGCGGCCTGCCGCTCTTGATCCTCGACCCCCCCAGGGGCACGCTTGCGCTTGTAGGTGCTGTGCAGCTCGCCGCCAAGTGCAGCCTCGGGGAGGAGGGCCGGCGGCGGCGGCGGCGGCGGTGGCGGCGTCGTCGTCGGCGGCGGCGGCGGTGGCGGCGTCGGCGTCGACGTCGGCGTCGGCATCGGCGTCGGCGTCCTCCTCCAGCTCCTTCATCCTTCTCTTCCCCTGCTGCTCCTCCTCATCCTCCTGCGACTCCAAACCCTCCTTCTCCTCTTCCATGCTTGTTCCTTATAAAGAACTTTCCCCAGACGCACCCCCAGACGCGTTGGTAGGGCGAGGGCGTTTCGCCTGAGACGTCCTCACCATCCATGATCCTGCAGCTTGAAAGTTGCAACAGCTACCACGATGGAGGGTGGGTCGTTTTCAAAATGTCGCTCTCGCATTCGCGCCGCGCACTTTCGTCATAAAAGTGCGCAGCAATTTCAAAGATTGAGAGGGGGACGTTCTCAAAATGTGGCTCTCGCCTCAGCGCCGAGCGGACTCGTCTTACAAGAGTGCAGCAGTTTCAAGAAATCGTAGCGCTGAAGTCCCAGGAACGGCGTTCTGGCACGACTTAGGCGCGTCAGGACACAACGGTCACGCGGATTCGCGGTCTTAATGTCCCAGGTATGGTGCTCTGACACGATTTAGGATTACCAATACGAAACAGTCACGTTGATCCGCGGTTTGTCTTTGGATACGATTGAGGATCCTCAAGCGGTTGTCGCTCCATCGAGCACTTCCCGCAGTGATCGTAAATTCTTGCAGGGACCCATGAAGAGAGAATTTGAAGAGAGTGGATTGCAACATTGTTCACGCGTCTTGTGTTTACGCTGACCGTCGTCCTCCTCCACCTCCTCCTGTCCTGCTCCTTCTCCTCCTTCCTCCTCCTCCTCCTCCTCCTCCTCCTCCTCCTCCTCCTCCTCCTCCTCCTCCTCCTCCCTATCCATCCGTCCATCCACCCTCCTAGCCGCCACCGCGGCTCGAGGTTCTGGGAGCGGATACCAGGTATCCGCGAACTTCGCTCGGTGCAGCTGCCGTACGCGCCGGCCCGCGCCTGAGCGGCGTGCGGGCTTGGCCGTGTCTGCCAGCTGCTGCGCGGCCTCCGCCAGGCCTGCGCGGACGGGGGGGGCCCCCGCGCCTCGCGACGGGGCAGCGGCTCACCGAGCCCCTCTGCTGGCGCAGCCCGCCGCGGCGCCAGGCGGCCAAGCCGCCCGCTGCCCTAGCCGGCCTGGCACAGGCGGGCGAGGCTGGCGCGCGCGAGCGCGCGCACCCTGCTGAGAGTGACCGCGGCGGCTCGCAGCCTGGAAGCGCGTCATAGCCCTCGAGGCGCTGCTGCGGGCGGCCGCTCGCACGCCGACGCCGCGACGCTCGAGATGCAGGGCGCTGCTGCTGGTGGCCGTGTGCGTGGCGGCGGCAAGAGCGGCCCTCGAGGCGATAAGGGCCCGCGTGGCGCAGGCAGCGGCAAAGGTGGCCCACCGCCGCCATGGCAGCCTGCCCTGCCAAGCCCCATCCCGCCACCGCCGCCATGCTGGTGGTGCCCAAGCTGCGGCCAGGCCAACACCGCCACCCTGCTGTGCAGCACGCGCATGCCGACACACACACACACACACACACACACACACACACACACGCACACACGCACACACAACACACAAACACACACACACACACACACACACACACACGCGCACACACAAACACACAAACACAAACACACACACACACACACACACACATACACACACACACACACACACGCACGCACGCACGCACGCACGCACGCACGCACGTACACACGCACACACACACACACACACACACACACATACACACACCCTTTGCGGGAAACCGATGATACTGCCGACAAGCTGGCCGTCTCGATCTGTCCAAGAGACGCTGGAGGCCCGAGCCCCTCCGCGCCCCTATGGGCGACCTGCCTGGGATCCCCCTCCAGTCAATGCCAGGGCGGGTCGCCGCTCAGGGGACGCCACCTCCTCCAGGGAGCGGGGTCCCCCGGACCCCCCACGACCCCCAGAGACGCTCAACAAAAACTTCCAAACCCCTCCTCGGTCCTCGACGCTCTATTCGCTACCGACCCTCGATTTCCAGGAGGCGAGGTGGCCCCCCACCCCCACGGGTGACCCCATTTGGCGCTGCCCAGACTCCATCTGCCCCTCTTCGAATAGGAGATCGACTACAGAATCGGTTCACCCTAAAGCTAATTGTTCCTCCGAGCCAACGAAAACAGGTAGAGTCTTCGCATATCGATGAGCATCATACGCACTTTGCTAGTAGATTCGACCCCCCTCCCCCCCAAAAAAGAAGCACTCCTAAAGCACATCAATTCTGCAGTGGATCTCCTACTCGACGTCTCTGGGCAGGCCCCGGAGGCTACGACCGCACCCCAAAAAGGAGCAGACGGTAGAAACGCGGCAAAGACCCCACCCCCCCCGCCTGCCCTCCCTGGGCCTCCGACGCCAGCGAGCTCTCTTCGGCGCCCCGCGCTCTGCTCGCGACCTCGGCCTCTCCGGGGCCATCCGACGAGAGAGCCCCCGGGCGGAGCGCTGCGGGGCCCAAGCATGGAGAAAAAGGCACGACGTCGGAGGCCAGGGGGTCTGCGAGAGGCGGGGCCGCCCGTGGAGCGCCCCCACCGCCGACGGGGAGGAAGAGAGGTGGGAACGGCACGCGCACCGCCTCCATCAGGAAGAAGAGGTTCAGCGGGTCGTTGTACGTCTCGTAGAGGGTGACGATGAAGGGCGAGTCCACCATGTTGAGCACGAGCTTCTCCGTCAGCACCCTCTGCTGCATGCCCTCTCGGGTGATGAGACCCTGGCGGAAGGCTCGCGCACTCTGGGGCCCGGATGGGACATCAGCGCTCGGCTGCTCATCTCCTTGGCCTGACTGTGGAAGCCTGCCCAGTGGCCTGATCTGACCCGCTGTGCTTCTGTTCGCTATCACCACGACCATCATCATCATCATCATCATCATCATCATCATCATCATCATCATCAGCAGCAGCAGCAGCATCATCATCATCATCATCATCATCATCATCATCATCAGCATCATCATCATCATCATCAGCATCATCATCATCATCATCATCATCATCATCATCATCTACAACATTAGCATGGACAACTTTGCAAACACCATCATGCAGATTCACCATCATCCTCATCAGTCTCGTCATCAGCATCATCGTCATCATGATCATCATCATCATCATCATCATCATCATCATCATCATCATCATCATCATCATGAGCAGCAACATCATCATGATCATCATCATCAGCAGCATCAGCATCATCGTCATCGTCGTCAACATCATCATCCTCAGCATCATGATCATCATCAGCATCACCGTTATCCTCATTATCGTCGTCGTCCTCGTCGTCGTCGGATTGATCTTCATCGCAATCATCATTGTCATCGTCATCGTCATCCTCTTAGTTATCATGAGTATCATCACAATCATCGTCATCATCACAATCATCATCATCGTCATCAACATCACCATCACCACCAGCATCATCATCATGATCTTCATCATCATCAGCAGCAGCATCAGCAGCATCAGCAGCATTATCATCAGTCATCATGATCGCTATCAGCATCACCATCAGCAGCACCATCACCACCGATAGCAAAACCAGAATCATCATCGTCATCATCACCATCATTATCAGCATCATCATTATCATCATCACAATCCCCATCACAATCAGCATCACCATAATCCTCATCCTCACCATCCTCACCATCCTCACCATAATCACCATCATTATGTCATCACCACCACCGGCATAAGCCACTTCATCGCCATCGTCACCGTCGCCACTGCCGTGGACGTCAGGGCCATGAGACGCCACCGCGGAGGTGCCGGGCCCAGGCCTTGTTTAGCGTCTTCAGCGCGTAAGTCTTGCCCGTGAGCCTGTGCTCCCAGAGCTCCACGGTGCCGAAACCTCCGGGCCAGAGCCGGCCGAACAGCACCCCTCAAAGACCCCCCGGAAACGAAAGTCGTTGATTTTGTTCGTTGGTTTTTGTGTGACAGTGGCATATTTGCCTTTCCGCTACTCAGACGCCCACGATGGGCCAAGAGGCCCCCAATCTCGCGCGGGGCTGCCCAAAAAAAACCAGAAGGGCCCCAGGAAGCACGGCCAAAGATGGGCCCAAGACGGATCAAGCGGGCCTCACAAGGGCCAGCGGCCCGGGCGGGGCCGCCACCATGCTCAAAGAACAAACATCAGCATAAGAACCAACTTTCGGAGGGTCGCACGCCTCCCCGACAATGTGTATGTTCGCCCCTTTCGATTGTTCGAATGATGTCTCGGCGAACGGAGCAAATGACATTGGGGCATGGGGAGGAGGGGCGGGAGGGGAAGAGAAGGAGGATGAGGGGGAAAGAGAAGGGAAATGAAGAGAAGAAATAGCCACCCATCCTGCCCACCAGAACCCCCGAGCCGGCGTAGTAGAGCTGCGGCAGGCCCCGCTGCCGAAGAGGCCACCAGCAACAAATCGCACCGATTCAACCACGGCGGAAGTTCAAACGGAAACCGACCGAACCGACAACGAAACCGAAACATACCGAAAACGACAGGCCGCAAGCAGCCCACAAGGGCGGAGCGATGCAGCAACGGCACGACAACCCACCGAGCCGCACCGATGGAACGCAATCCGACTGCGACGCACGACCAAACCGCGCACACTCCATGCAACTCCACCGAATCGGTGATGCGCGCTGTGCACGGGCGGGGACGGGCAGCTCCAAGGGGAGCTGTCGTCACACGCCGCGGGCGAAGTGGCAAACTACATGTGAGATGCGCCGCCACGATGCGATGTATGGGATGCAGGTTACTGTTTCGAATAGTGAAGTCGTCAAATCCGCTGTTCGTGCAAACATCCCATCCTCCCACCCGCAACATGTTGGCAAAGCTAACATGGTCATGATCGCATCGACCGCACGGGATCATGGAACTCAACCGCGCAGACAAATCCTTCCTGCGGGTCGCGACATGGCGGCGGCGACGGTGACGACCGCGACGCCAACGACGATGGCAATGACACTGGTGATGACGCTGCTGCCGACGGCGACGACAGGGGGGATGGGGGCGATGCAACGACGATGGTGACGGTGATTAAGGTGGTGTCGATGATAACGACGGCGGCAACGATGACGTTGACGATGACGATGACGATGGCGCGGGCGATGACGGTGACGAGATGCACTCGCGAAGATTCTCGTGCGGCCGCTCTCCTCTGGGATGGTCCTGCGCGCTCGCACGGACCGTTGGGCGACACACAGCGTGCAGCCGGGCAGGGGAGCACGAGAGACCCCAAGGAGCCCTCGAGACCCAGCCCGGCTAGCACACAAGACACCCCAGGGAGGGCGGGCGGGAAAGCCGGCCGCGCCGGCAAAAGCGACGCCCCAGGCGACCAGCGCCCGCGGCCCGCAGGAGGGCGCGCCGGCCCGCCAGAGCGTCGCCCCGACGAGGCCGCGCGCGCCCAGGCCACACTGCACAGCCGTTGGCCTGCAGCGTAGCCACGCGGCTCCCACGGGAGCACTGGCCGATATTTGCTACCCCGCCTCGGGCCCGGGCGGCAAGGGGAGCGGAGACGCCGAAAGGCAACCGAATCACCGAATCCCCGAATGGGGACAGAAGCGGCCTGTGAGAATCTTCCTCCCCAGAACCAAAGCTTAGGGATGATGAAGATTCTCGTGCGGCCGCTCTCCTCTGGGATGGTCCTGTGCGCTCGCACGGACCGTTGGGCGACACACAGCGTGCAGCCGGGCAGGGGAGCACGAGAGACCCCAAGGAGCCCTCGAGACCCAATGCTGGGGCTCTCGGCGACCCGGACCCCAACCCCACTGCTGACGACGAGAGCACAGCAGCACTGATGATGGCACAGACCCGACGATGATTTTCACAGCCTCCACTGCTCACGGCGCGCCGTCGGACGCAGACGAGTCCGAAAACTCCACTGGCCACTCCGCAGCAGTCATGGCGTCTCTGGAGGCGGCAGAGGCGTAGCCGAACGCAGCGACGCCACGCCAGCCTCCACTGTGGAAGAGCGCCGGCACGCCGCCCGCCGCTAAACACTCGTCCGCCCAGCCTCTGCGGAAGGCATGTGTACCCCACTCGGCCGCGCGCTCGAAGCCGAGCGCCAGCGCCGATGCTTTCAGCGTGGCCAGAGCCGCCCTGTAGGACAGGCCAGGGAAGAGGCGCCCCCGCCCAGCCCGGCGCTGCAGGACGCACACCCCGCACAGCTGCCGCGACTGGAGAACGCAGATGCACCGCCTCGTCACCACCACTGTCTCTGTGTGCATCTTGCGCTTGTGCAAGTAGATGCACGCCTTGGGCAAGCCCCCGTCGACCGAGAGCACGACCCTGGAGCGCGGCCCGTCGTGCTCCAGAGGCACCACCTCCGACGCGAAACGGAGACAGAAATGTCTGGCGACCACGAAGGAATCCGCCACCAGAGGATCCCGGAGCACCTCCCGCACGTGGCCAGCAACGCTGCGGGTGTCGTGCGCACTGGCCCGCGCTCGAAAGCGGCTCGTGCCGGGCACCGTTTTGGCGGCCCCCCGTGCCAGACTTGAGGTATCTTCCAAACACCCCAGAGGGGCCCGGACCAACCGCAGGGCCGCCCGGACCTGGGTGCAGTACGTCATCAGCGTGTTGCCGTTCTGCACTGCGAAAGCAAAGGCCCCCAGCACGCTGTCTGTCGGCGGCCACGGCGGCACTCCGAGGCCCTTGGCTACCTGGCCCCAAAGCCGCACTGCGGACGCATACTTGTAAGCACTCCGATGCCACCCGCAGAGCTCTCGTCTCAAAAGCTCCTGCGTCGCTGCAAACTCAGACATATTGCCCACCAGTTGCAAAGCACGCTCTCTCGGGTTGCCCCCTGCGCCTCCGTGACGCCGAGCCCATGCCACTTGGAGCTCTTCAGGCGTAACGCGGCCCAGCGTTTGCACTGCGTCGGCCAAGTCCTTGGGCTCCAGGAAAGTCCTCCGAAAGCGAGCTGCGGCCAGGAAGCCAAGAGCAGCAAGGGCAGTCTCAGCTTCGCCCCCTTCTGGCCCTGCGGGCGCGGCGCTTTCCACCAAAGGCGATGCGACCTCACCGCTCGGGCCGCCGCTGCCCTGGGAGTGCCCTGCCGGCGGCGCCACAGGAGAGCGCTTCCCGGAAGGGAAAATAGCCAAGAATTCACTGGCCAGCTCTCGAAGGCACGGCCAGACGTCCCGAAGTTCCTGCACACTCATGTCGTTGAAGTCATCTCCGGCCACGGCCCCGCCACTGGCGAGAGCGCGCAACACATTGTCAGGCGATGCCGGGTGGCAACGCGGCGGCGTGCGCCGAAGCACCCCTGTGAACCACTGTGCAAGAGCAGGCGGCACCACATCATGGGAGCATGCTTCTTCTGGCGGCTCAGGGTCCGAAGCGCCATCGCCCAAAGCCCACCGCGCGCGTTTGCGGTTGATGAACTCAAGTGCCATGTTGGGCCAAGCTGACTACGGATGACTGCGTGGGAGGGCGTGCGCCGGAGTACGCGGCAAGAAACGCTGACGAATCAACAACTGCACTTTTTTCCTTCCTCGCGAATGCATGCCCGTCACCGCCTCTGCTGCCAGAAATCCACTGCCGGCCAAGCCCACTCGAGGCGAGCGAAGCCGCGAGAGACCAGCTGTGCCAACTCCGATGCCTTCTGCTCTGGACGAGTTGGCCAGTCTGCCAAATTTAAATGTGAAGGCACGCGGAATGCACTTAAAAAGTGGCCACGGTCTGCTGCAGCAAACCACACGCCAGCCACCATAGCATTCCAGTCACGCTGGCGGGAGCACCCGCGGAGCAGCGTCCCGAGTGCGACTGTCGAGTCGATGAAAATCACAACGTCGAGCCCCGCTACGCCTTCGGGCAGACTGAAAAACTGCCAGAGTGCACACACTGCAGCTACTAGTTCCCAGGTGTGGATTTGCTGCTGACGCGGGCAGGCCCACCTCGCAAGCCAGCCCGGCACTGGCGCTGAAGCGAAAAACTTACGCCCGGCCAGCACTGCCACCCAAGCCAGCACGCCTGCTCCCGAGGCGTCAGTGTACACCACCAAACGTGGCTTCACCGATGGCGACAGCGGGACGGCCCTGCTTGGCTGCGAATTGAGGAAACGCTGCCACCACAGGAGCGCAAAGCGCAAACGCTTGGAGATGCGAGTGCTTCTCCCGGCTGAGTGCCGGAAGAGCGGCGCCAGATAGACGCGCGCGCCCTTCCCGAAGACTGCTGTGGCCCCCCAGCTGAGCCGGCCGGCCAGCTTCTGCGCGCGCGCTGGCGTTAAACGCTGGTCCCGGAGCACCTCTGCGATTTCCGCCAGCCACTTGGCGCACTTGTCGCTGGGCACGACAAAATTTAAACACTCTGTGGTTGCGTCCACGGACACACGAACGCCCAGCGCAACAAAACTCAACGCTGCCGTAACTGCTTTATGTGAATCAAGACGCCAGCCCAGCAAGTCCTGGATGACGAATCTAGCTAAAGAGGCGGCGCCTACGGCGCTATCACCCCATTCGCGCGCTTGCTCTGCATCAATGCCGAAAAAATCGTCCACGAAACGTGGATACACGATGCTAAACAAACGCAAAAGTATGGCTTGAAAAGCCGCGCCCACGCGCTGCCAGGCATGGACACTCGCCTTCCCCCCAAATGGACAGCAGAACAGCTGCAGGAACTGATCCTGCGAGACGGACTCCGCCGTCACAGCGGCCGCAAACGGGAGGTGCTCACTATGCAGCGGGAGAGTTTTGTAGGCCTCGCAGACGTCATCCTTGCGGAACCGGACGTCCGCTGCGCTGGCTCCACCAGCGACGAGGCACTGCGCCGCCGCCACTAAATCATCGAGAGTTTCGTGGGCGACGCGTTCGGAGACCGTGGTCGCGCCATTGACCCCAGAAGCTGTGAGGTCATCGATGGCGCGG